CGTTCAGAAACCCATTCATCCTCAGGTTGTATTGTCTCGAAACCATACCTTAGGCCAGCTTGTACTTTTCTATTTCATTTTCATACTTTTTTACTCTATTATCTATTTTTTGGGCATTCAAGGATAATTTTCACCACCAGAATAGTTTATTTTTCCTGCTGTAGATCATTGTAACCGAGCAATTATTGAGAAGAAGAGGACACAGTGACAGGCAACATAAACCAAACTGTGGCTTAGCTTTCGGTCAAAAAGTTTTGTGGGAAATATCTTATCGCCCGCCATAAGACTAAAGATGACATTGCTTGTAATGCTGACTTTGGGAAGCCTTAACTGGGCAGACGTATCTCTTTATAGCTGGTATTGAGATACAGTTAAAGAATCAAAGAGTTTATCTATTGAAATGTGTAATAACAATGTGTGCAAACTGACTCCATGTGAGCGAGCTGCCTTGGTATTAGGTATAGATTGGAACATAATGGAATTATTTTTCGGCTGTAAAAGTTACAGAAATGAATGGCACTGAAAGCATCTTTCTTTTTCTAGTCTTACAAAACTGATGATTACTACCCATAATCCCCTTCTGTTTCCCTTTTTTGTGACTGAACCATGTGTATTCAGATTTTTCTACATGTAAAACAGAATATATCCAGCTATGATCTTGCATTATCATTTGGATCTATTTTTTACTCTAGTGTGTTGAATTTTTTATTGACCTGTTAGATTTGCATTTCTTTGACATTCTGTCAGTAATGCTGGTGCCTTCCCTGTCTTCATTTGATCATATGATGTGTAAAAATTAGGGCTGTAATGTGTTGCAGGATTCTGTGTCTCCGTTTAAAGGAAAAGTTCAGTCACATTCAGAATACAAACTTTTGAAAGTACTTTAAGTATAAAATTATTACATACTTTTCAATAAATGATAAGTGTTTTTAATTAAGAGTAATTTTGTTTGAATGTGCTTTCCTGGAGACATCTATGTTTGTCAAAGAGCACTAGTACCACCTTTGTGACGTCACGGTGTGGTATTGGGTGTTGAGCAAGTCCCAGTGCCCTACCTGATGTTTGTCACAACGCGCTATTAAACATGACTGCGACAACCATTGCAATATGTGAAGCAGAGATTAACAGATTAATGACGTTTTTTTTTCTCTGGCCAGAAGTCTGATGGCAAATCCTCCCTCGTCAAGTTTGCAATCCAACAACAAACCCATGGTGGATCATGAATTGGAAAAGTGAAATAACACTTTTTTTTCACTTTTACCCAATGTATTCCATCATCCAACTGACATGCATGAGGGTATTGTTAGTTTAGCTATAGCTCTTGTCAATTTCAATGGTGAAGTCCTTTCGAAATGTTAAATAATTGTTGATTGCAGATGTGTCTAGTAGCTCCCATTGATTTTGCTTGTTAAGCCTCTGGCTTACCGCACCATGAAATCAATGCCGGAAAATGTCAGGAGTGAGGTGTTACTATATCTGGGCAAAAATGGCCGCTTCTGGACTCAGTGATCGCAGCGAGAAATGGTTTTATTTTTTTACTGATTAACACTAAATTCATCAAATCACTGCAAACCTATTAGTTTTATGTATAAATAATGACCCGTTGGTTATTCCTTGCTGACCGGATGTTTCCTTTAACAAAAACATGCTGTGTAAGTGACAGATGTGGGCACATGTGTTCCTGACAGATAAAATGATTAAGGTTGGAGGCAGGACTTGATTAATACTTGAACGTCAGATTTCTGCAGAAACAAAGCTGTATAGTGCATGGAACACCAAAGATGTGCATCTCAGGTCCAAATTTTACCTCTTCAGTTTGACATTTAATGCAACAAAAAATTCGTTTTATTGCTTTGGTAAAAACTATATAAAGCTTTTTGGTATTTGTTAGAAACGTATTAGTATATAATAAAGGGGAAAAATTATACGTGTTTTAATAAGAATCTGTAGAAAAATGTTGGAAGTATACAGTATAGGGGAAAGAAATCAACACTATGCATTACTCCAAACATTTAGACTTATAAAACATGGTTAGAGACATCATGGTTTGGGAATATTCAACATGAGCAGTGAGATGGAAACTGGTCTGAGCTGATGGGAAGAAGCAGTAAATCTATGTGGATAAATCAGAGAGAATTAACCTGAAACATACAACACTAAAAACTGGGACAAAGTTTTATGTTTCAATAGAATGACTTTAACCATAGAGCTATTGAATAACTCATACCAGATACTGTAATAGTTATGTGGTGGAATGGTCCAGTCAAAGTCCAAACCTTAATCAAGTTTGTGGGAAGACTTGAAAATAGCTGCCCACGGGTCCTGCATTCAGTCTGGCCATGTTTCTAAGTAAAATAGGCCAGAATGTACCTTTTTATCGTGGTTTCTCACATACAAGGATAGTTATTGACTGTTTTAATGCAGTATAGTTTCAATTGAAAATTATTTATCTACAAGAATTGACAGGATAAATTATTTTCAAGCTTGGGAGAGAAGATATATTGATAACAACCCCTCTTGCAGGATCATTTACTTCTGTATAAAACAATCATGAAGAAGATATTACCACATTTCATAATGCAGCATGATTTCTTTTCATTAGTGATAATAATACTCTGTATAATTACATCTTAATCACTGGGTTCAATGGAAACTCCCTAAAGCAAAACCAGCAGGAGGTCCAGTTTTTTCGGGTCATTCTTATAAACAGATAACCAGTAGGAAGCCATATAAGCTCAAAGGGAAAAAAGTATCTAATTAATGCCTGCAAATCTTTAATCGCTTTTGGGTGAAACCATGAAAAGAAAGAAAGGCTGATAATTTGTGCATATGCTTAGTGAAAAATACATGTTGAGATGAATAAGGTTTCAACCTCTAACGTCCATTTAACATGCCAGTCAGAAGTTTCTAACCTCTCAACATGTAATTAATGTTCATCTATATCCGATTAATGGCTTTTAGCAAAACTATTCAACTGTTATTTTACCAGAATCAACACAGGCTAAAAAATTATACATATCAGCTCAGGCGTGATGATTTTAGAACATCCCATTATGTATATCAGCCATTTTCTTTTCACCTCTGGAAAATAAATTAATGTATTTGCACTAAAACAATCTAAAAATCCACAGCTTTTTACCCAAACAAAAGATGGACAAATCTCCAAACTAAAAATGTACCCTACTCTCTAATAGCGAATTTTATCCAATGCTGTAGAAATAACTTCAGGCTTTGTTCAGGATTCAGGCTTTTACCTGCCCAAGGGTTTGTCATTTCTGATTCACTTAGTTTGGCTGATTCTTACTGAATTAACTGAAATGTTTTGGGTCCCTTTGACATTGTTAAGTAGGCATGTCCAAATTCATTCCTCAACAGCTGCTGTTCTGCATGTTTTAGAGATTTCCCTACTTCAAATTTAATAATAATTAGGGAAGTTAAACTAGTTACACCTGAAAGGTGGTAGTTTTGTGATTCAAAAGTATGTTTCTGTGAGAGGAATCAGTTTATGAAACAATCTGAACAGAGAAATCAAAGAGTTACAATCAATATTTTCATTACAACGACAATAAAATCTGAGTAAAAAAAATATCACTTATGCCTGATTGTAGCACACAGTAAATAACCATGTCAAATTTTATGCTTTAAGAGTATGTAGAAAATAAACGCGTAACCTAAAGTAAAATTTAAAAATGATGAGCTTTCAAGGGCCCAGAAATAAAAAGTTTGGGAACCACTGCCCCAAACAATGACACTCCCACCTCTGTGCTTAACAGCCGGTGCCCTCTGTTCAACTTCACAAGGTTATCAAATGTTTGATCACATTTTAGGGGTTTTTGGGTATTTATTTTCAGCATCTTGTGATCTGTGTTCAAGGGTAACTTACCTGGACAGTTCTGTGGTTACAAACTGTTTTCCATACAATACAGTGTTGAATTCAAATTCTGTATGGATGCCGTCTATTGTTTAAACTCTTTAGCATTGTTAAAATTAATTACAAGTTCAAAATAGTTTAAAAAGCCCAAAATTCACCTTTTTCTTTCATGTTACTTTTTACCAGAATCCAATTTTTGGTGGAATATGATTTAGCAAGCTGAAAGGAAACAACACTTTTGTTGTTTTCTACTAGAACTACTTTTCTAACAGAGTGGGGTTTGGAGTCATGTCTGAGTCTTAATTTTGTTCTGCCTCCTGGATTCATAGATCTGATTTATTGCTGCACTCAATATTACTTTGTTGTATGTTTTGCCTCCTTGGTTGCCCTTGGTTCCCCTCTGGGGGTTCAGCAACCTATTCTGGAGGAATTTATCCTCCCAAAACAGTTTCTTTTTTCCCTTACTTTTGTGCATATTTGACTATTTTAAATGTGGTAAAAGTTTTTGAATGTTCCTTATATAATTTCTGCCAAAAGACTTAAAATATTCTGCTTGACTTTAGGGTGAAATTAGTAAAGTTTCCGTATTTTGATTAAATATGTATTTCTGCTCTTTGAGCTCCATATAGTTAGAGGCATTAAAATATAGAGTTATTGAAGATAGCTCTTAACAAATGCAGAAAGAGTTCCAGTACCTGCAGTACCTACACTTTCAACTGAAGTAGAAAACACTAAAGCATTTTCTCTCCTATGGGCCAATTTAATCAAATAGCGTCTCTGGTGTTTTCAGCTGCTGGATTATGCTTGACGGCCTAAGATAGGAAATAAAAAAAGAAACTTAAGAAGTCACAAAAAGGACCGGAGGAGACTTCAAAGACTGCAGATGAGGCTCTGTCATTTTGGCTGTGACTGGTGCTGAGGGGAGATTTGCCCCAGGCCAGTCCCAAGGCTCCTGCCACTGCATGGCTCATTGAAATTCTTTGACTTAAGACTTGGTGCAGTCCTAATGCTCCATATAAATGCAGCTAATAAATAAACCAAAGGATTCAGAGCAAGTGTACTAAATGTATCAAATTGATGCCTGATTAGTCTGATAATTACAAAATGTTTTGATGAATCTGGAGTGTCTTAGCAGAGGGACTGAATTTAGTATTTTAAGCACTGCTTCCTGAGAAATGTATGAGATTCTTCTTGTTTATCAGCCGCTGGTTTAACAGAACATTAAAGACGTTCAGCTTCTCCTGCATTAGAAATTAAAACATGACGTGTGCTGATTCGTCGACTCAAAACATTTAATTCACATCATTGCAGGAGACATGCATTTGCAGCACTAAACCCAGTGCGCTTTTCTCAGCTGGAGCTCCTATTTTCAAAACACAAACAAATCTTAAAATAATTTAAGCAATACACATATTTAAAAAAGGGGTTACATTGTTTTATACAGGTTTGTTATACTTTTCAGTAAAATATATCACAAAAATTAGCTTTTAACACAGAGCAAAACATGACTAAGGGATAACACTGAGCTGGTTGATAGCAGGAATACTGTGAACTGGTGACATCCTGGAGCAAATGTCACACAGAGGACAAGCTTGGGGAAAAAAAAAAGTTTTTCAAAGAAGAGGGAGGACGCGAGGCTGGGGGGGTGGGGGTTGTTTGGGGTTTGGAGTCCCTATCAGATGAGAAACAATCCGAGTACGCCGAAGGGCAGACGGGTCGATCACTAGGCATAGAAAGTCTCTACTTTCACTGTCTGGCAGAACATTGTCATAGAGAAGACCAGACCCAGGATCTGTGGAAAAACACACAAAAAAACAGAGATTCATGGAATCACATGTCCCTGAAGACAGCTGCAGTGGAAACATAAGCTTTTCAGATAATCACAATATTACTTGTTAGCTATAACTAACAAAAAATATATATGTATTTCTCTCAAAGTGCTGCATCCAAAACTCATTTCTTAGATAACAACAAAAGGAGAATCCGTCCACTCAAATCTCTGAAGCATTTGCTGATTATATTTCCCACTGATTTTTATCACAAACTCTATTTGTGTTCCAGTATCTCCAGAGAACCTTTATCTTCTATTTATTGCATTTTTTTTATTGAATTATTCTTCTGTTTCGCACGATGCAGCAGTTAGTGTTGCTTTTGCCTTTCAGCAAGAAGCCTCTCAGTTTAAATCCTGTTTTCAGCTTGCATGCTCTCTCTCTGGATTCCTCCTACAGTCCAAGCAAGGGTTGGTTAATGTCTACCTAAAACTGCCCTTAGGTTTGTATTTTAAAAAGATGGTTTAGATAGAAAATAATGTTCTGGTGCAAAGAGGCACAGGCAGCTCTGGGCAGGTGGTCTCTTACAGGTCTGAACTGGTTCTATAGAGCTTTCTGGTGGTGGGTGTGTCATGGTGCTGGGAAGGGAAAACTGTTATTGACTATAAGGCTTTCAATAATCTTATTCTAACTATGGAAGTCCAGAAAAACAACACTGAGAAAAGAATAATGCCTCATAAAAAGAAAAGTTCCACTAAATACTTAATCTAATGATATTTTAGGTAATAGTTTATAACTGGGAGTTTAAGTCCAGCCCTCCAGTGCCACAACCCTGCCACTTCTAGATGCATTCCCTCCCCTTAACGCCTGAATTCCCTCATTATGTTATTTAGCTCAGCAGTGTAACCAACCTCTCAGAAGAACCAAGGAAACTACCAGATAAGTGGGGCATGATAACTAAATGTTGCTTCTCCATGTTTGGTTCTGGTTAAGCAGATTCAGTTTGAGCAAGAAGACCTGAGGCATCCTAATGGTTGACACTGACAAGTCTGTAGTGTATTTTGGTACTGATCCATTCAGTGATTTATTGCATGACAGAAGTATTTCAAAGTCCTTTGGTTATGATGCAGGGGGTCAGTTAAAGGACTTTTGGTCTGGGATGATTGATGGATGGATGTTTAGGTTCTGGGTTTTGTTGACTGTGTTCTTACATGAGGACATAATTTACAAAGCAGGGTAGATTACTTTTTATTAAAGAGATGAAAAACACCAAACAACCCTTACTAAAGGAAACCTACCATTGCCGAGAATAAAAGTTCCAATAATTAGAGTAGAAATGCTATTTTTTTATTGCAGAAAGAACATTATACATGCTTCAGACTAATATGCAGCCTTGTTTCATCAAAAAAACTTCTTAGCTGTGAAGTTACCACCTAAATATTTCAGCTTGACTTAAGCTAAGGATTATAAAGTATATGTACATATGAAGGGTGTGTGTGCTTGGCCAATTGCCAAAGGTTTTTTTGAATAACAAATAGAAAATAGTTTTAGTTGCTGTTACCGCGGTACAGCTGTACACTGTTTGCTCTCTACCTGCTAGGAGTGGCAGAGCTAATTCAATTTAACTCCCAGCTGGGACACAGTCTCCTCAGTGCATGAGAGTCAGGCTGCCCACAAAGGACACACTTCATTTATTGGAGCTCAGTTCATTAACCTCTGGATGTGAAGCATTGTCTATTCAAGTAATCAATTTGAATAGACAATGACTTTCTATATTGAAGAAGTTGAAGGGATTTAAGGCCGATGTGACTCAATCAGGTGGACTTCCTTGGATAAATAATTATTTGATGATTAACAGTACTGTGTTAATTAAATCCATCCATCCATCCATCCATCCATCCATCCATCCATCTAAATATGGATGGATGGATGGATGGATGGAAGATAGATAGATAGATAGATAGATAGACAGACAGACAGACAGACAGACAGACAGACAGA